ATGTTGTAGTATATATTTACAATCTGATGTTGTAGTATATATTTACAATCTGTGTTGTAGTATATATTTACAATCTGATGTTGTAGTATATATTTACAATCTGATGTTGTAGTATATATTTACAATCTGATGTTGTAGTATATATTTACAATCTGTAGTATATATTTACAATCTGTGTTGTAGTATATATTTACAATCTGATGTTGTAGTATATATTTACAATCTGGTGTTGTACTATATATCTACAATCTGATGTTGTAGTATATATTTACAATCTAGTGTTGTAGTATATATTTACAATCTGATGTTGTAGTATATATGTACAATCTGATGTTGTAGTATATATTTACAATCTGATGTTGTAGTATATATTTACAATCTGATGTTGTAGTATATATTTACAATCTGATGTTGTAGTATATATTTACAATCTGATGTTGTAGTATATATTGACAATCTGATGTTGTAGTATATATGTAGAATCTGATGTTGTAGTATATATCTACAATCTGATGTTGTAGTATATATTTACAATCTGATGTTGTAGTATATATTTACAATCTGATGTTGTAGTACAATCTGATGTTGTAGTATATATTTACAATCTGATGTTGTAGTATATATTTACAATCTGTTGTTGTAGTATATATTTACAATCTGATGTTGTAGTATATATTTACAATCTTGTGTTGTAGTATATATTTACAATCTGATGTTGTAGTATATATTTACAATCTGATGTTGTAGTATATATTTACAATCTAGTGTTGTAGTATATATTTACAATCTGGTGTTGTAGTATATATGTACAATCTAGTGTTGTAGTATATATTTACAATCTGATGTTGTAGTATATATTTACAATCTGATGTTGTAGTATATATTTACAATCTGATGTTGTAGTATATATTTACAATCTGATGTTGGAGAATATATTAACAATCTGATGTTGTAGTATATATTTAAATTCTGATGTTGTAGTATATATTTACAATATATGTTGTAGTATATATTTACAATCTGATGTTGTAGTATATATTAACAATCTAATGTTGTAGTATATATTTACAATCTGATTTTGTAGTACATATTGACAATCTGATGTTGTAGTATATATTTACAATCTGATGTTGTAGTATATATTTACAACCTAGTGTTGTAGTATATATTTACAATCTGATGTTGTAGTATATATTGCCAATCTGATGTTGTAGTATATATTTACAATCTGATGTTGTAGTATATATTTATAATCTGATGTTGTAGTATATATACAATCTGATGTTGTAGTATATATTTACAATCTGATCTGATGTTGTAGTATATATTTACAATCTGATTTTGTAGTATATATTTACAATCTGATGTTGTAGTATATATTGACAATCTGATGTTGTAGTATATATCTACAATCTGATGTTGTAGTATATATTTACAATCTGATGTTGTAGTATATATTTACAATATGATGTTGTAGTATATATTTACAATCTAGTGTTGTAATATATATGTACAATCTGATGTTGTAGTATATATTTACAATCTGGTGTTGTAGTATATATTTACAATCTGGTGTTGTAGTATATATGTACAATCTAGTGTTGTAGTATATATTTACAATCTGATGTTGTAGTATATATTTATAATCTGATGTTGTAGTATATATGTAAAATCTAGTGTTCTAGTATATATTTACATATTTATCTGATGTTGTAGTATATATTTACAATCTGATGTTGTAGTATATATTTACAATCTGATGTTGTAGTATATATTTACAATCTGTGTTGTAGTATATATTTACAATCTGATGTTGTAGTATATATTTACAATCTGATGTTGTAGTATATATTGTACAATCTGAATGTTGTAGTATATATTTACAATCTGATGTTGTAGTATATATCTACAATCTAGTGTTGAAGTATATATATACAATCTGATTTTGTATATATTTACAATATGATGTTGTAGTATATATTTACAATCTGATGTTGTACTATATATTTACAATCTGATGTTGTAGTATATATCTACAATCTGATGTTGTAGTATATATTTACAATCTGATTTTGTAGTATATATTTACAATCTCATGTTGTAGTATATATTTACAATCTGATGTTGTAGTATATATCTACAATCTAGTGTTAAAGTATATATTTACAATCTGATGTTGTAGTATATATTTACAATCTGTGTTGTATATATATTACAATCTGATGTTGTAGTATATATTGACAATCTAGTGTTGTAGTATATATTTACAATCTAGTGTTGTAGTATATATTTACAATCTAGTGTTGTAGTATATATTTACAATCTGGTTTTGTAGAATATATTTACAATCTAGTGTTGTAGTATATATGTACAATCTGGTGTTGTAGTATATATTTACAATCTAGTGTTGTAGTATATATTTACAATCTGATGTTGTAGTATATATTTACAATCTGATGTTGTAGTATATATTTACAATCTAGTGTTGTAAATATTTACAATATAGTGTTGTAGTATATATTTACAATCTGATGTTGTAGTATATATTTACAATCTGGTGTTGTAGTATATATTTACAATCTGATGTTGTAGTATATATTTACAATCTGGTGTTGTAGTATATATTTACAATCTGATGTTGTAGTATATATTTACAATCTGATGTTGTAGTATATATTTACAATCTGATGTTGTAGTATATATTTACAATCTGATGTAGTATATATGTACAATCTAGTGTTGTAGTATATATTTACAATCTGATGTTGTAATATATATTTACAATCTGATGTTTTAGTATATATTTACAATCTGATGTTGTATTTGTATATATTTACAATCTGATGTTGTAGTATATATGTATTTTGTATAGTTACCTGGTCTAAATACTTATTTTGGTTACCTGTATTTTGTATAGTTACCTGGTCTAAATACTTGTCTGTATTTTGTAGTTACCTGGCCTGTATTTTGTTAGTTACCTGGTCTAAATACTTGGCCTTGGTTACCTGGCCTGTATTTTGTATAGTTACCTGGTCTAAATACTTGGCCTGTATTTTGTATAGTTACCTGGCCTGTATTTTGTTTAGTTACCTGGTCTAAATACTTGGCCTGTATTTTGTATAGTTACCTGGTCTAAATACTTGGTCTGTATTTTGTATAGTTACCTGGCCTGTATTTTGTATAGTTACCTGATCTAAATACTTGGTCTGTATTTTGTATAGTTACCTGGTCTAAATACTTGGTCTCTATTTTGTTTAGTTACCTGGTCTGTATTTTGTTTAGTTACCTGATCTAAATACTTGGTCTGTATTTTGTATAGTTACCTGGTCTAAATACTTGGTCTGTATTTTGTTTAGTTACCTGGTCTGTATTTTGTATAGTTACCTGGTCTAAATACTTGGCCTGTATTTTGTTTAGTTACCTGGTCTGTATTTTGTTTAGTTACCTGGTCTAAATACTTGGCCTGTATTTTGTATAGTTACCTGGTCTAAATACTTGGCCTGTATTTTGTTTAGTTACCTGGTCTGTATTTTGTTTAGTTACCTGGTCTAAATACTTGGCCTGTATTTTGTTTAGTTACCTGGTCTGTATTTTGTTTAGTTACCTGGTCTAAATACTTGGCCTGTATTTTGTTTAGTTACCTGGTCTAAATACTTGGCCTGTATTTTGTATAGTTACCTGGTCTAAATACTTGGCCTGTATTTTGTATAGTTACCTGGTCTAAATACTTGGCCTGTATTTTGTATAGTTACCTGGCCTGTATTTTGTATAGTTACCTGATCTAAATACTTGGTCTGTATTTTGTATAGTTACCTGGCCTGTATTTTGTATAGTTACCTGGTCTAAATACGTGGCCTGTATTTTGTATAGTTACCTGGTCTAAATATCTGGTCTGTATTTTGTTTAGTTACCTGGTCTAAATACTTGGCCTGTATTTTGTTTAGTAACCTGATCTAAAGACTTGGTCTGTATTTTGTATAGTTACCTGGCCTGTATTTTGTATAGTTACCTGATCTAAATACTTGGTCTGTATTTTGTATAGTTACCTGATCTAAATACTTGGTCTGTATTTTGTATAGTTACCTGGCCTGTATTTTGTATAGTTACCTGATCTAAATACTTGGTCTGTATTTTGTATAGTTACCTGGTCTAAATACTTGGTCTCTATTTTGTTTAGTTACCTGGTCTGTATTTTGTTTAGTTACCTGGTCTGTATTTTGTTTAGTTACCTGGTCTAAATACTTGGCCTGTATTTTGTTTAGTTACCTGGTCTGTATTTTGTTTAGTTACCTGGTCTAAATACTTGGCCTGTATTTTGTATAGTTACCTGGTCTAAATACTTGGTCTGTATTTTGTTTAGTTACCTGGCCTGTATTTTGTATAGTTACCTGGTCTAAATACTTGGCCTGTATTTTGTATAGTTACCTGGTCTAAATATCTGGTCTGTATTTTGTTTAGTTACCTGGTCTAAATACTTGGCCTGTATTTTGTTTAGTAACCTGATCTAAAGACTTGGTCTGTATTTTGTATAGTTACCTGGCCTGTATTTCGTATAGTTACCTGGTCTAAATACTTGGTCTGTATTTTGTATAGTTACCTGATCTAAATACTTGGTCTGTATTTTGTATAGTTACCTGGCCTGTATTTTGTATAGTTACCTGATCTAAATACTTGGTCTGTATTTTGTATAGTTACCTGGTCTAAATACTTGGTCTCTATTTTGTTTAGTTACCTGGTCTGTATTTTGTTTAGTTACCTGGTCTGTATTTTGTTTAGTTACCTGGTCTATATACTTGGCCTGTATTTTGTTTAGTTACCTGGTCTGTATTTTGTTTAGTTACCTGGTCTAAATACTTGGCCTGTATTTTGTTTAGTTACCTGGTCTAAATACTTGGCCTGTATTTTGTTTAGTTACCTGGTCTGTATTTTGTTTAGTTACCTGGTCTAAATACTTGGTCTGTATTTTGTTTAGTTACCTGGTCTGTATTTTGTTTAGTTACCTGGTCTAAATACTTGGCCTGTATTTTGTGCCGAGCCTTGCACATTTTACATGGTTCTTGCCCTTTCTTCAGGAATAGGAGTTGGTTGACAACAACATTGTGGGTATCTATACCGTACCGCGTCAATTCTTGTACCAGTCTTTCTGTTTCGTACAGAGACAGAAATTCTGCTATACACACACAAACAAATGTTGTCTCGTCCTGGAAAAGAAATTTTTAAAACATGTCAATATACAAGAAATGTAATGACATCAATTAACATCACCTTATATTTCAAAGATTCTGTCACTTTTGTGATCAATATTTGACTGAATTTTTAAGTTATAGACACAACAGGTAAAAAGTACTTCATGAATAACAAATAGTTGGTATATCTAATGCTTTGTATCTATAGATTCTGCCTTAATTTCAAACATTAAGATGATTGAGACAGAGAAATACAATGACCAATCTCTAAATTATTTTCAACTTCATTGCTAAAATAAAACTTGCCCAACAACGGAAAGTTCAAGTCCCATGAGTACACGACTCAAGACTCGCATGCAGGTTATCGTTGATGGTCAGAAAGAAAGAGTGAACAAAATTAAAGTTTCTGTAAGGACAAAGAGTACTCACTGCATTTTTAAATTGAGCATTGACGTGTCTGATGGTAGTCAACATGTCCTGCAGTTTGGTAGACATATCGTCTGCGTTCATGTCCTGCATTCCTATCATACCAGCCATCTATTTAAGTAAGGGAGACAACCATGATAAAACATGTTTCTTGTTTCAGAATATTAGGACATTTGAGATCAGAAACCATCAATATTATGTATTACTTCAGAATACATCAATCAACATTTCAAGAATAATTAATGATTGATTGGTAACCTTCTGATCATCACAGTGGAATATATTGACTAACAAGAGATCCTAGAGGGATCTTGGTGCCCACCATTCTTTGATCTTTATACACTCTTCGGAAGTTGGATTTTTCCCCTTCTTATTTCTTCTCTTCTCTGCTTTTGCTCCTAATGATAACACTTTTGAACATTCCCTTGCTGAAATAGCGATAATAATCTTTACCTTCCAAATCCAAACTGGCCATCTGGAAGCCATTTTGTTTCTCCTGATCAGTCCCAAAATCAAACTAACAAAAGTAGAAACCAAAGGGAACATATGTATGAAATCTGAGAGATATTCATTCAGTACTTCTGAAGAAATAGCAATAATAATCTTTACTAGGTAAAATCCAAGATGGCTGCCTGTTGGCCTTTTTTTTTTCTGATCACTTCCAAACTCAAACTGGTACAACAAGGTACATAAAGGAACCTATACAAGAAATTTGAGAAAGATCTTGAGAGAAGTTCTCCAGAAATATGTAACAAAATAGGGTTAAGATATATTGTTACAAAATGTGGTTTCGATATTAGTGTAAATCAGATACATAAGCCAGTAATCTTTGACTGACTGACTGATTAATTTTATCAATACGTAATATCGGGTAGACTGGGTGGGAATTATGAATGCACACCAATATTTCCTAACTGTATTTACAGTGGACAGCACTGATATCTTCTGATCCTTTTAATCTATTCTATCGACAAATTCAGCTATCTTTATGACGGCAGTCTGCCTTTGAAAATGCCCACCATGCAATAGATTAAACTCTGACACATGCAATTCTCCACCCTGTCCACCCTGATATGAAATTCAACCAATGGGGCATAAGATCGTGGCATTTCCATGAGAAGATCTGATAGAATTGGGATAAAAGGAAGGGAGTTTTGGGGTGGGGGAGAGCGAGGAGACAGAGCCCTATAGACAGAGCCCTAGTAAGAGAGCCCTATGGACAGAGCCCTATAGACAGAGCCCTAGTAAGAGAGCCCTATGGACAGAGCCCTATAGACTAGCCCCATGGACAGACGAGAAGATAGCTCAGAGCCCTATGGACAGTTCTAAATGAGACACAAGGTGAAGTACTAGTATGAGTATATGAACTCTGTACGTTGATGAGATGTTGCTTTTGTACATGTAACATTATTATCATTCCACGTGATAAACATGGCTATTACCAACAAGCATGTGTGTTTACGGCTACTGTCTTACAAATAGTGATATCAAACTTTCAACATCAAAATTCAAGATGGCTGCTTGCAGGCCATTTTGTCTTTCTGATTAGTCATAAAATTACATGGGCACAACTAGAGACCAAGGGGAACCTACATATGAAATTTGAGAGAGATCTATCAAGCACTTTTCAAGAAATAGAGATAAAAAATCCATTGAAAAAATCCAATATGGTTGCTTGTTGGCAATTTTGTTTTTTTTTATCAGTTCCAAACTCAAACTGGTACAACAAGGGACCTAAAGGAACCTATATATGCAGTTTGAGAAAGATGCATCCACTCCTTCTTAAGAAATAGCGATAACAAAAATTGTTTACAGACAGACGGACAAACTGATGGACAGACAACGGACAGACTGATGACAGACCACGGATGCAGTGATTTGAATAGCCCACCATCTGATGATGGTTGGCTAAGAAACATAAAACAACATCAGAAAATATGAACATGTCAAAATAATCATCAATAAAATTCAAAATCTTCTAAGCCTCTGATTGGTTACATTGGATGACTGGTTGGTTGGTGGTAGATTCTCGCTTCAATGACTCTGCCTATCACTGGGCATTATTTCATCAACAAACATATACATCCTGGTGATAAATGGATGCCATCCATAGCTGTAGACCCAAACCAATTCTTGATGAGGACATGTAGGCCATGAAGAAAATGAGAAACTCTAATTCTGTATTTACAAACAAATTGTATGATGTTTAATCTACGGACCAGAAGAGCAGCCTCGTGCAACCCAACAAACAAGCAACTTTCGTGACTGAATATTCACATGAATGGTAATAAGGGGATAAAAAGAAACTATTGCTTGGAAACTAGACTGTGACTGTCATTCTATTTTTAGTAGCATGTCGCAAGACCTTTGATTTACAGCCTTGAAAGCAAAACTGACAACCAGATTGATTTTACGAACAGTCTTATTCTGACAAGATTTCTCTCCTTATGTCCATATTAACTTGTTTCACTTCATAAGGTGTTGCTCACCTGTGATATAAATGGTCCCACTTGGTTTTTAAGTCGGAGGATCTTGCCGAGCCCCTTTTCAATGACGGATGGAAATGACAGAAGACGTAGCGTGTGACCAGTGGGAGCAGTGTCAAACACTACACATGAAAAATTCATTCCATTCACCAGTCTGAAAACAGAGTTCATAAAATGTCAACTTTGATCAACAAATATATACCTTTAACATATCGACCATTAATATGGAATATTGGTATCAACTTCAGAGCACTCATCAATCTTTCTTATCATCATATGACAAATCAATCCAACAGCTTTGTGAGAAACACAAACCTGCCCTGGGTAGGGAATGACACATCACAGATCTTCATCTGAGACACACAAACCTTTCCTGGGTAGGGATCGACACACACACACATCTCAGATCTTCACTTGAGACACACAAACCTTCCCTGGGTAGAGATTGACACACACACACATCTCAGATCTTCACTTGAGACACACAAACCTTTCCTGGGTAGGGATTGAAACACACACATCTCAGATCTTCACCTGAGACACACAAACCTTCCCTGGGTAGGGATGGACACACACACATCTCAGATCTTCACCTGAGGCACACAAACCTTCCCTTGGTAGGGATTGACACACACACCTCAGACCTTCACCTGAGACACACAAACCTTCCCTGGGTAGGGATTGACACACACACCTCAGAACTTCACTTGAGACACACAAACCTTCCCTGGGTAGGGATCGACACACACACATCTCAGATCTTCACCTGAGACACACAAACCTTCCCTTGGTAGAGATGGAAACACACACCTTAGATCTTCACCTGAGAAACGCAAACCTTTACTACGTAGAGATGGAAACACACACATCTCAGATCTTCACTTGAGACACACAAACCTTCCCTGGGTAGGGATTGACACACACACACCTCAGATCTTCACCTGAGACACACAAACCTTCCCTTGGTAGAGATGGAAACACACACCTTAGATCTTCACCTGAGAAACACAAACCTTCCCTTGGTAGAGATGGAAACACACACCTTAGCTCTTCACCTGAGAAACACAAACCTTTACTACATAGAGATGGAAACACACACATCTCAGATCTTCACCTGAGACACACAAACCTTCCCTGGGTAGGGATTGACAAACACACCTCAGATCTTCACTTGAGACACACAAACCTTCCCTGGGTAGGGATTGACACACACACCTCAGATCTTCACTTGAGACATACAAACCTTCCCTGGGTAGCGATTGACACACACACACACATCTCAGATCTTCACTTAAGACACACAAACCTTTCCTGGGTAGGGATTGACACACACACACCTCAGATCTTCACCTGAGACACACAAACCTTCCCTGGGTAGGGATTGATACACACATCTCAGATCTTCACCTGAGACACACAAACCTTCCCTGGATAGGGATGGAAACACACACACATCTCAGATCTTCACCTGAGAAACACAAACCTTCCCTGGGTAGGGATTGACACACACACATCTCAGATCTTCACCTGAGACACACAAACCTTCCCTGGGTAGGGATTGAAACACACACCTCAGACCTTCACCTGAGACAAACAAACCTGCTCTGGGTAGGGATTGACACACACACCTCAGATCTTCACTTGAGACACCCAAACCTTCCCTGGGTAGGGATTGAAACACACACCTCAGACGTTCACCTGAGACAAACAAACCTGCTCTGGGTAGGGATTGACACACACACCTCAGATCTTCACTTGAGACACACAAACCTTCCCTGGGTAGGGATTGACACACACACACCTCAGACCTTCACCTGAGACAAACAAACCTGCTCTGGGTAGGGATTGACACACACACCTCAGATCTTCACTTGAGACACACAAACCTTCCCTGGGTAGGGATTGACACACACCTCAGATCTTCACTTGAGACACACAAACCTTCCCTGGGTAGGGATTGACACACACACACATCTCAGATCTTCACTTAAGACACACAAACCTTTCCTGGGTAGGGATTGACACACACACCTTAGATCTTCACCTGAGAAACACAAACCTTTACTACGTTGAGATGGAAACACACACACACATCTCAGATCTTCACCTGAGACACATAAACCTTCCCTGGGTAGGGATTGACACACACACCTCAGACCTTCACCTGAGACACACAAACCTGCTCTGGGTAGGGATTGACACACACACCTCAGATCTTCACTTGAGACACACAAACCTTCCCTGGGTAAGGATTGACACACACACATCTCAGATCTTCACTTGAGACACACAAACCTTCCCTTGGTAGGGATTGACACACACATCTCAGATCTTCACCTGAGACACACAAACCTTTCCTGGGTAGGGATGGACACACACACACATCTCAGATCTTCACCTGAAACACACAAATCTTCCCTGGGTAGGGATTGACACACACACCTCAGACCTTCACCTGAGACACACAAACCTGCCCTGGGTAGGGATTGACACAAACATCTCAGATCTTCACTTGAGACACACAAACCTTCCCTTGGTAGAGATGGAAACACACACCTTAGATCTTCACCTGAGAAACACAAACCTTTACTACGTAGAGATGGAAACACACACATCTCAGATCTTCACCTGAGACACACAAACCTTCCCTGGGTAGGGATTGACACACACACCTCAGATCTTCACCTGAGACACACAAACCTTCCCTGGGTAGGGATTGACACACACACCTCAGATCTTCACTTGAGACACACAAACCTTCCCTGGGTAGGGATTGACACACACACACACCTCAGATCTTCACCTGAGACACACAAACCTTCCCTTTGTAGAGGTGGAAACACACACATCTCAGATCTTCACCTGAGACACACAAACCTTCCCTTGGTAGAGATGGAAACACACACCTTAGATTTTAAACAATTAGAAGTCAAAGTTTCCAGGACAGTTATAGATGCTGTGTATGATGTGTATTGAAATAAAGGAATAAAGAGAGTGGTACATCAATATAGAATGACATGTAATCTTGTGTGATTGTAAGATTCAAGACATATAGTCATGATAAGATTTTCATATGATCAGTGGATGAGTGTGATTGGAGAGGTAATAACTGATCATGTCCAGTCAAGTGTGACCCTGAAATCTGCACCTGTTGCAGTTTAGTGCATGGTTATAGGCCACCAATGGTATGAATATTTTACTGTGTTCATTGAGTTGGGTTGAGTTTTCAACAATGATAATAAGTTTATTTTAACTGGCTAGTAACCAATCAACTATTTGCTTCTTTATCCAATTAACTGATTTTTTTTGAAATTCTTTTAAATTATCTTACACAATAGTGATCAATAACATTTCATCCGTTCATAGCTTGTTTGAGCACTGAGAAAAGTAGACAACAAATGTAAGAAAAAAACTGGTGAGTACAAGACATGTTACAGGCAGGTGTGATAAGTAGGTCTCAGTCTGGAACATTACCATAGTCATTGTTGATAGACAATACTAAAAGGTGTTGACTTTAGACCATTAAACAAGGTAACAAAGGTTAATAGTTACCCCTTGTCTGGGATTTATTCTGTGTGTGTTTATAAGGCAAAGTATCTTTTTACTTTAGACCTTAAAAGCGGTTATTGGCAAGAAGCAATGGATGAAGGTGACAAAGAAAACACGGCTTTTGTTTGTCATAAGGGGCTATATGAGTTTAATGTAATGCCATTTGGCTTACAAAATGTTCCTTTAGTACTATAGAGACTGCCAATTCATGTCTTACAAGTAAGAAGACCTTTCCTTAGCTTGTTAAGTTCTGTCTTACAACATATAGAAGACTTTTCCTTAGCTTGTTAATTCTGTCTTACAAGATATAGAAGACTTTTCCTTAGCTTGTTAATTCTGTCTTACAAGATATAGAAGACTTTTCCTTAGCTTGTTAATTCTGTCTTACAAGATATAGAAGACTTTTCCTTAGCTTGTTAAGTTGTGTCTTACAAGATATAGAAGACTTTTCCTTAGCTTGTTAATTCTGTCTTACAAGATATAGAAGACTTTTCCTTAGCTTGTTAATTCTGTCTTACAAGATATAGAAGACTTTTCCTTAGCTTGTTAAGTTGTGTCTTACAAGATGTAGAAGACTTTTCCTTAGCTGTGTGTCTTACAAGATGTAGAAGACTTTTCCTTAGCTGTGTGTCTTACAAGATATAGAAGACTTTTCTTTAGCTTGTTAAGTTGTGTCTTACAAGATATAGAAGACTTTTCTTTAGCTTGTTAAGTTGTGTTTTACAAGATGTAGAAGACTTTTCCTTAGCTGTGTGTCTTACAAGATGTAGAAGACTTTTCCTTAGCTGTGTGTCTTACAAGATATAGAAGACTTTTCCTTAGCTTGTTAAGTTGTGTCTTACAAGATATAGAAGACTTTTCTTTAGCTTGTTAAGTTGTGTCTTACAAGATATAGAAGACTTTTCTTTAGCTTGTTAAGTTGTGTCTTACAAGATATAGAAGACTTTTCTTTAGCTTGTTAAGTTGTGTCTTACAAGATATAGAAGACTTTTCTTTAGCTTGTTAAGTTGTGTCTTACAAGATGTAGAAGACTTTTTCTTAGCTGTGTGTATTACAAGATATAGAAGACTTTTCCTTAGCTTGTTAAGTTGTGTCTTACAAGATATAGAAGACTTTTCCTTAGCTTGTTAAGTTGTGTCTTACAAGATATAGAAGACTTTTCTTTAGCTTGTTAAGTTGTGTCTTACAAGATATAGAAGACTTTTCCTTAGCTTGTTAAGTTGTGTCTTACAAGATATAGAAGACTTTTCTTTAGCTTGTTAAGTTGTGTCTTACAAGATATAGAAGACTTTTCTTTAGCTTGTTAAGTTGTGTCTTACAAGATATAGAAGACTTTTCCTTAGTGTCTTACAAGATGTAGAAGACTTTTCCTTAGCTGTGTGTCTTACAAGATATAGAAGACTTTTCCTTAGCTTGTTAAGTTGTGTCTTACAAGATATAGAAGACTTTTCTTTAGCTTGTTAAGTTGTGTCTTACAAGATATAGAAGACTTTTCTTTAGCTTGTTAAGTTGTGTCTTACAAGATATAGAAGACTTTTCTTTAGCTTGTTCAAGATATAGAAGACTTTTCTTTAGCTTGTTAAGTTGTGTTGTAGAAGACTTTTC